TCAACAGTGCAAAAATGTCTGAGGGTTAAGGCACCACCGAAGAGCCTGATGGTCCATGTGAGCACCAGTTCAAGTCCCAGCTTCCTGCTAATGCACCCAGGAAAGCAGCTGATGGCCTGAGAGTATGGATCCCTGCAACCACATCGAAGACCTGGATGGAGTTCTAGCTCCTGACTTCAGCCTGCCCCAGCCCTGGCCATTGTGGCCAGTTGAGAGGTGAACCAGTAGGTGGGAGATCTCCCTCTCTCTAACTCTTGCAAGTAAATACAATATTTTTAAATCCACCTTGGATGGATTACTAAGGCCAGAGAATGTGATGTAGTGTTTGCTGCAGACCCAGGTCACCTGCTGCGGCCTCAGTGAGGTCTGCTTCACCAGAATCACACCAACTGACAACTTGCAAACACAGTGACTCCTCAGAGGGAAGTATGAAATCAAGATGATCAGATGAGTGGGTTGAAGGAAAAAGCAACTAGTACAACCCTCCAAGGGTTAATGTGTTAGCACGGTTCATTTCCTGAAACAACTACCTTTGGGTGGTCTCCCTCAAGCCAGACGAGAGCTATACCCCAGACAGAAAAGAGAGGGTCTTTTGTAGAAACACTCCACTGATTAGTAGTCTGCTGGAAGTCTCAGGCACAGCCTCTGCAACTTGTTCTAACAGATGTGAATGCCTGTCTGGTTTGCTGGCTTGCACACAAATGATCCCTGTGGAACATAGTAACATAAGCAAAAGTGTTTACTTGGCACTGAGGATTCCAGGGCAGAGCAGTGGGGAGATCCAACTGAAAAGACTCAGCAGGCATGGGAGGAGTCCCTCCCTTAAGAGCCGGGGAGTCCTCCTTGGTTTGCACCTGTGGGTTGCCCGCAGACTTCACTGGTCACACTGGAACACATTTGAGGATGAAAAGGGAGGTTAGCCAGACAGGACCTAAGAGACGAGACTGGGACTTTGCCAGGCATACCAGAGCATCTGTAGGGGTAAGCACTACCAGTGAACCCCAGTGATAACAATGCTTATTTGGACATGCTCAACAGGAAATGCAAATCCCCTACTCACAGACTATGTCTGAATACAGTCACTTATAGCTTCAAGACGTCCCCAGAACATGGCAATGTTTATTACCAGAATGCCTCACAATAATTATTTCTGTGAGAATATTCCTGTAAGAAACATTTTACCTTTCCTAGGGGCCAGTGCAGTAGCTTGGCAAACTTAATTCTCTACCTGCAGTGCTGGCATCCCATACTGGTGCCACTTCTAGTCCCAGCTACTCCACTGCCCATCTGACTCCCTCCCTATGGCCTGGAAAAGCAGCAGAGGATGGCTCAAATCCTTGGGCCCCTGCACCCATGTAGGAGACCTGAAAGAAGTTTCTGGTTGCTGGTTTTAGATCAGCTCAACAGTTGGAAGATCTTTCTCTTTGCTTCTCCTTCTCTCTCTGTAAGTTGGCCTCTCAGATAAAAATAACTCTTTTTTTAAAAAGAAAAGAAATTCTTACCTTACCTTAGGACCAGGAATGATTATCATTTTAATCTTGCAGACACTGTGAATTGCGCATCTGACCAGAATTCTCCTTTGGTCTTGGCTGCTTGAAGGATTAAAACTGAATATGGAGCCTACACAACTCTATGGTGGCAAGCACTTTTAGCCATGTTCCTGGCTCCACCTCTCAGTCTTGGGTTTCATGTCCCTTTAAATTTACACAGCCTAAAATCTTAGGTTTTCTTGTTAGGCATTACAAATTGGATAAATGTTATTTAGTCAAAGGGCAGAAAGACAGAGACAGAGAAAGCTTCCATCCGGGAGTTCGATCCCCCAAATGCCTATAATGGCCAAGACTAGGCCAGGCCACAGGTAGGAGTCCAAGCCAGGCCTCCCACGTGACTGGCAGAAATGTACCAATCTCAGCTCTCACTGCTACCTCCCAGAGTCTGCATTGGCAGGAGGGCAGAGAGTCGGTAGTCAAACCCAGATATTCTACTATGGGATGGATGCAGGCTGTCAAGCCATTAGGTGAAACCTCTCTACCTCTTATTAGTCCTTGTAAGTCCCATCAGTAAAAGACACTCAGCAGATAAGTGCCTACACAGGTGAGATGACCCTCTCTTCAGTTGGTCTCTTAAGATTTACAAGCAACAGACAATTTTGTAGTCTGACTGGGTGGATCCTAAAATTGCACAGCTCCCTGAAACAAATCATTGGTAGGGAAAAAAAAAATACAACAACTGAATTTGAACAGGATAGTTAATGATATTGAGAAAATTTTATCAAAGCTGTCTGTTTTTTAAAAAGTGAGTTATCCCTTAAAAACAGGTGCTTGGGGCCCAGTGCAGTAACCTAGGGCTAAAGTCCTTGCCTTGCATGTGCTGGGATTCCATATAAGTGTCGATTCTAATTCTGGCAGCTCCACTTCCCATACAGCTCACTACTTGTGGCCTGGGAAAGCAGTCGAGGACCAAAGCCTTGGGACCCTGCGCCTACATGGGAGATGCAGAAGAAGCTCCTGGCTCCTGACTTTGGAACAGCTCAGCTCCGGCTGTTGCAGCCATTTGGGGAGTGAACCAGCAAATGAAAGATCCTTTTCTCTGTATCTCCTTCTCTCTGTAAATCTGACTTTCCAATAAAAATAAATAAACCTTTTAGGAAAAGAAAAACAGGTGCTGAATACCCCACACTGAGGACCCTGGGATGACCTCGGTGGCCACCCCCCATTCCAGGGTATGGAGGCGGTTGGGAAGCCGAGTGTGGTTTCTTCCCTTATCTTTCCCTTCCCCCAGACACAGGAAGGAAAACAGAATGTGGAAAAGGAAAAAGAATGTGAAAACAATGGTCTCACTCACTTTCCTCTAGCCCTTGACTCCCCCCCCCAAAAAATAAATAAAAATAAAAGCCACTGAGTTCATTACTTCAAGCCTGTGAGGTTTGCAGCGAAGAAATGCTCCTTTATATATTTTAAATTTTTCTAAATATTTCTTTGGTTCAGTCCAGCATCTCCCATCTTTCCATTCTTTTTTTTTTTTTTTCATGTAATTCTAGTGGCAGTGGAAATACAGCAAGTTTGCATTTCCAGTAGATTTTGGTGTTTTTGTATTTATAACAGAGAAAGGAGGGGGAGAGAAAAAGATGCAGATTCTGTCTACTGATTCACTAACCAGACGGCTGCAATAGTCGGTGCAGAAGCCAGCAGCTTCACCCGGATCTTCCGCACAGGAGGCAGAGACCCAAACACTTCGGCCATCTTCCTCTGCTTTCCCAGACACATTAGCAAAAAGCTGGATCATAAGCAGAGCAGCCAGCCAACTGTCTCTCCTCTCTGTAAATCTGTCTTTTCAAGTAGGACCTTTTCACAGAGTAGGACTTCGCAGCAAAACTTGCTCGTTGGGCTAAGTTTTTGTTTTCCATTCCCTATTGCATTATCTGCCATGCCTTGAAGTACACACTCTGATGACAGTCATGTAACAGATGACTGGATGGGGAATCTGGAAACCTGGGCTTAGATTCTGGGTCATCATTTAGCAGCCTCCAAACTGTGAATATACTTGAATCTGAGCCTGTTTCCTAAGCACTAACAGCCTCCTAATCTACGTGGGTCTCTCCTATTGTCAGCATTTAATAAAACAGATATAAAGTGACCTGAATCTGTACAATGGTCTCCAATAACGTAAGCAGTGTTGAACAAGTTCATGGAAAATGTATGTTATAAATAAAATGTGCATGGATTTCAGAAATGTTTTGCAACCAAAAACCGTACTGTTTAATCCCATTTCTCCACTGTGTTGGTGGCTTACAGTCATTTAAGCGCCTGTTTCCTTGTGGTGTCTTCACAGCCACCCATTAGAGCAGTGTGCCAACAAGCAGCCCAGGTACTTACTCCCAGGGGAGTCCTGGTGCACACAGAAGAGCCTGCCCCAGTGCTCCAGCCCCAGGCACATCCTGTGGCCGTCCACACCCTCCCCTGTCACACAGCTCCTGAGTTCCAGCCAGGTCAGGAGGAGGAGGTCATCCTGAAACGCTCTCTGCCTGTGCAAATGAAACTACACAAACACAGGATTCCGCAGCCAGCCCCATCCTGATCAGCAAGATGCAGAAGCCAGGATCCTGCCTGCCACTGGACTAGGAATCTGACGTAATTGTCCGTGTCCTCTCCTGCCCCTACTCCAGGACATCTGATTGCTAAATCACTGTCAATACACCCATCTGATGAAATTCGGCCTGTGGGGCCACTGGAGTAAATACCAGGGATGAAGCCGGCAACGCATGCTTAGGCCTCCTCTGGCTGAGAGGCAGAGAAACAAGGCCTTCATCAGAACAGCTCAGGTATGTGTGTGTGTGTTTGTTTGTTTGAAAGCTTGAGCGCATGGCAAGGCCTGCGATGCTGGCAAGCATCCTCACCCAGGCTAGAGGGTAACAAAAACATTCATGATGCTAAGGCAGCTGGGGCCTCGACCCCTCTTGTCTTCTGAACGGTTGTATTTTCCCCTTTGTATTCTGGATCATCTATTTCTTTCCACCTCCCCAACACTGTACAGACACCTTTGCAGGGATACCTATTAGGTACATGTATTTATTGCTGTTATCTAAATTTTTTTTTAAATGTAATTTTTATTTGAAAGGCATCCACTAGTTCACTTCCCAAGTGGCTGCAACAGCCAGAACCAGGGTGTTCCAAATACTCGGAGTCAGGAACTTCCTCTGGATCTCCTATGTGAGTGCAGGGGCTCAAGGACTTGGGCCATCCTCTGTTGCCTTCCAGGCCATCAGGCAGGGAGCTCTGGATCAGAAGTAGAGTAGGCAGGACACAAAAGGGAGACCAATACTGCCACTGCGCTGGCCCCACGAACATTTATCTGTGACATACTTCTAGTATTAAAGAGAAAACTGTCAGAAAGAAAAACAAACTTGCACAATGAAACCAATGTTGTTCGTATTTATTTAATTTTAACAACACAGATATTCTAAAGAGAAATAATTAAGAAACAGGTTTTTTTTTCTCTTATTTCTAAATAGGTTGGTGATTGTAAAAGTAGTAGTGACTCAAATCTCAACAAGAGAAAGCACAAAAGTCAAGAAAAATGTGAGACACACAAGTATTGTATCTCTTACCTGAATTCACCTTAGAACACCTAAACACTGTCTGAGGAGATATCAATATTAAAGCTGTGCAACAAACAAACAAAAAAAAACACACACAAAAAATTGTACCAATAGTGTTGCAACCGTAAAACCAAAATCTTGGTTTACACATGACAAAAAGGAAAGTCAGGTTGTAGAACTGAAGGCCAGTCCAGGTGATGGCAGGTGAAGAGAAGCCGGGCACAGGGATGTGGCTTCCAACCAGCAGGAAGCTCTGTGGAGGCAGGAGTTAGGGTCCTGAGCCGTCAGGGGTAGGAAGGATACAACGAGACATCTCTAACAGTCAGCATGTTCACGGAGGCCCTGGGGAAGTTTCCAGAGTTGAAGCTGAGGTAGTTTTCAGTAAACAAGGTTCTCCTGGAGAGCATGGTCAGCATGTGGTGCAGTCGGGACCTGATGCCGGCCAAGTGGAACTGCCGCTCCTTGTTGAGGTTTCTAAGCGAATCCCTCAAGCACAGCTCCAGGTGAGGGGTGCCCAGCAGCGAGGGGTAGCCAGGATGGTGGAAGTCGGGGGCCCTGATGGAAGTGTGGGAGCCAACGGAGCTCGCCACAGAGCCTTGGGAGGACAGAGAGGACAAGGACTTCAAGCTGGAAGACCTGGACAGGGACATTTTGGATACAGGGGACCCTTCTTTGGACTGGGCTCCCTGAGAAAGGACACAGCTCTCCTCTGCGTCCGTCTGGGTGGTGGCGGACCTGGCGCAAATCGTGGTCTGGGAACTCACCACCCTGGTGGCCACTGTGCTCTGGGTGCCGGCGCACGCTCTGCTGGTGCTGGTCTGTGTCCCCACCTCCCTTGCGCTCCTGGAGGCCACCTCCTCTTCTGGTTCCGTCTGGGTGGCTACGTGAACAGCCTTCCTGCCCTTGTAGTCGTCCTCGTGTCCGTGGAGGTGGTCGTCTTCACCAAGGGTGGAGGATGGGGAGGCAGGGCGCCTGCTCTCAGCCTCACCCTCCTCGGGCCCGTCCGCCTCTAGCCCTGGCCTCTTGGGTGTGCTGGAGAGCCTGGCCAGGCGCATGCGCAGCAGGTTGCCCAGTGTAAGCTCCTTGGGCTGTGGCTTCCATTCGGCGAGGTGGTCAAACCTACCACTGATTCGGAAGCTGGACAGCAGTTTGGAGCTGATGGGCTTTGACTGGGCATAGAGGATGCGGAACTCCAGATCAAAGTGTTCCACCACCTGGCCCGACAGGATGACCAGGTTACTGCTGTTTAATTTGCCATCGGTCCAGGTAAAACTAAAGGGTGAAAATCAGACAGAAGCTGGTGAGGGGAGGAATTTTAGCTCATTTATTATCAAGGACAGCCAAGACCTTGCCACATAAGAGTCATACTTCGGTGACACCATACCTACCATTTAGTGTAACTTCAAACAGCCTTAGCATCTACATGGAAAAGACGAACTTGCTGACCAGAAGGTAGAACAGCCAACCATCTTAACACAGTGCATCATCCTGGACAGTCCTCAGCCTCCAAGTCTTCAGCATTGGTAGGGTTTCTTCCTTCTCTTGTCATTGTCCCTTTCTCTCATTTTCTTTTATCTTATTTTTTAAAGGTTTATTTATTTTTTCATTGGAAAGGCAGATTTACAGAAAAAAGGAGAAACAAAGATCTTCCTTGTGTTGCTTCACTCCCTAAGTGGTCACAACAGCTCTGGGCCATCCTCTATTACTTTTCCAGGCCATAAGCAGGGAGCTTGATGGGAAGTGGAGCAGACAGGACATGAGCTGCTGCCCATATGGGATCCTGGTGTTTCCAAGGCAAAGATTTAGACACTGAGCCATCACACAGGGCCCGAGGACAGTTCCAACTGCTTCACCTCCAATTCCCTGCTAATGTGCCTGAGAAAACAGCAGAAAGCGGCCCAAAGCTCTGGGCCCCTGCACCCATGTGAAGAGACCGGATGAAGCTCTTGGTTCCCGACTTCGACCTGGTCTTAAGCCCTGGCCATTATGGCCATCTAACCAGCACATGGAAGATCTCTCTCTCCTTACCTCTCTCTCTCTTTCTCTCTGTAACTCTGCCTTTCAAACTAATAAATAAATCCAGAAGAAAAAAAAGAGACACCACTCGGGATGTCTGTCAGTTTCTGAGCGCCTGCTTCATTCTGATCCAGCTTCCTGCTAAGGTGCATCCTGGGAGGCAGCAGGTGCTGGGTCACTTTTCACAAGTGCCTGCCACTTCCCCAAGAGACCCTACTGAGTTTCAGGCTTTTAGCTTCAGTGTGGCCCATATTTTTGGGGAGTGAACCAAGTGGTGGAAGACATAATTATCAGTCAGGACACATTGCCTCAAAAATGAGTTTTTCTTTTTTAAACTGCAAAGATACACCTCATGCATAGGATTGGACAATGTCACGTGGAAGTGACAGGACACACAACCATCAGAACCACTTTAGTAGCAATGGAATGAGTTCTGGAGATTAGTACAAACCACTCATTACTGCCATGTGCCAGCCTACTTCCGGGCTCTCTACCTTAAGACATCAAAGCCAAAGTGAGACTTCAAAGGTGGGGTTCGAAGCATGATCAGAATTTGCTAGAATTTGCTAGCACTAAATTACAAGGTTTGAGGCAAGGTCAAGAATGTAAGTTCAAAGACGACAGCTCTGGCTCTACCTCCAACACTGATGCAGACACATGGCATCTGCTCTCACCTTCAAGTGGGCGGGGTCCACTGCCTGAAGTCACCAGGACCCCTGATCCTGTCACTGTTAACCTACAACTCCTCCTCTGCAGGCCTGGGCCAAGGCTTGAATCTGGGCCTCACTGGCTCCGTGGTCTTGAGGCAGATTCAACCTCTGCATTTTCCTGTTGTGGCCCACAGGACAAAGGAGGCCACCCCAGCCGAGCACTTCCAGTGGAAGGCTTGTCCAGCTCACGTCTGCAGAGGTGCACTTGTAGGAACGCATGGCCAGGAAGGCTGTCGCTCAGAAGCAGTGGGAACCCTTCCCTGGGCAACGCCCTTGCTTCTGGAAGGCTTGCAGGAACGTGCGACACCCCGGCTGGAGACTCACCTGTAGGAGCCTGTTGCCACTCGAATGCCATCAATCAAAGTGAACTTTTCGTGAACCTTCCCAATGATCTTGGTTCCCGACCTTGCGTAGTAGATATTTCCCGTAATAGTCCGCACTGTCATCAGCTGTTAGCATGAGAGTGGGAGGAGAAGGAAGGAAAAACAGTGACTCCCATCCGGAGGGCAAGGGATGAAGACTTTTAGTTTATAATTCCTAAAAAACTTCATGGCAGACATGCCACTGAGGGCCACTACCTAGCAATAGCACACAGGGCGTAGTAGCCAGACACTTCCAAAATCCGGAGGAATGCCTCTTCTAATCCATCCTCCTGCTAATGTGCCTGGGAGGCAGTAGATGACAGCCCACATACTTGGGTTCTTGTCACATGCATGGGAGACCCAGACTGAGCTACAGTTCCTTGGCTTTGGTCTGACCCAGCCCTGGCTGGTTCAGGTATTTGGGAAGTAAATCCGTCCCTCTCTGTCACTTCTTTTTTTTTTTTTTTTTTAAAGATTTATTTTATTTTTATTGGAAAGGCAGATATACAGAGAGGAGAGACAGAGAGGAAGATCTTCCGTCCGATGATTCACTCCCCAAGTGAGCGCAACGGGTCGATGCTATGCCGATCCGAAGCCAGGAGCCTCTTCCAGGTCTCCCACTAGTGTGCAGGGTCCCAAAGCTTTGGGCCGTCCTCGACTGCTTTCCCGGGCCACAGGCAGGGAGCTGGAAGGGAAGCGGGGCTTCTGGGATTAGAACCGGCGCCCAAATGGGATCCCGGGTGTGCAAGGCGGGGACCTTAACCACTGCATCACTGCGCCGGGCCCCACTTCTTTTTTTTTTTTTTAAGTATACAGAATCATATAGTACATGTGCATGCATAACTATCCCTACAAAATAATATGCATAAATGCATATAAAGTGGCATGCAAATGACCAAGAAAACCTGTACTTTTTTTTTTAAGATTTACTTATTTTTATTGGAAAGGCAGATTTATGGAAAGAAGGCAAGACAGAGACATGGATTTTCATCTGCTGCTTCACTCCTCAAATGGCTGTGATGGTAAGAGTTGAGTAGATCTGAAGCCAGGAACTTTCCCTGTGCCTCCCATGTGGGTGCAGAGTCCCAAGGTGTTCCTAGGCCACAGCAGGGAGCTGGATGGGAAGTGGAGCAACCAGGACACAAACTGGCACCCATATAGGATCCCGGCACTTGGAGGTAGAAGATTAGCCCATTGTGCCACTGTGCTAGACCCACAATAACCTATATTCTTTGAAGCAGGCCAAACAGTACCCAGAACAGAGCAGGAGCTCAACAAACAGGGCCCTTTGTGATCCCCAGTGGAGCCTCCTGGAGCCCCCATTGCAAACAGCACCTTCCCGCAGCCCTGGGGTTCTCAGCCACTGAGACATCACTGACATGCCACTTGGTTCAATGGGACCATTCTATAGTTTTTAAGCATATTTGTGGCTCGATGCAGCCATTCTGATGGTCACATTTAGAGCATTCTCACCACTTTGGAAAGAAGGTCTGCACCCTTTAGCCCTCACCCCCTTCATTCCCTCCCCACTTTACCTTCTATCTGTAGATTTCCCTATTCTGGTCTTTGCTGTGAATGCAATGATTTAATGAACAATCCTTTGTGACCAGCCTCCTTCACATCATAAAACATGTTCAGGTTCATCCGTGTTGTAGCATGTGTCAGTTCTTTGTTCCTATCTGTGGTTAAATAATGCCCCATTGTGTAAACAGTTGGCACATTGTCTATCTGCTTATCAGCTGATGGACAGTGGATGGGTCCCACCCTCTAGCTAGCATGAATATTGTCTCTATAAACACTCAGCTGTGTGTCTTGGTGTGGACACAGCTTTTCATTTCTCTTGGGTAGAAACCCAGGAATGGACTTGCCAAGCCACAAATGGGTGTTGTTCCTCTCCTCTGTGCTTTTGGGTGAATGACCTTGCTCAGGGCCTCAGTTCCCTCGTTTAAAGAGGAGGGGAAGCGGGGAACCATCACCAGATACCACACGGATCTCACACATTGCTTGTGATGAAACCGGAAATAGACAGCACCAACCTTCTCTTGTTCAGGATGGACTTTCAGATCCATGCACATATCCAGAAACTGGGGGAGCAGAGCCTGATCCAGAAGGATGTACACGGCAACCCCCTGCTTCCGGCAGATCTCCTGCAGGTCCCTGAAGATGTCGATGTCTGTGAAGACATCCATCACCACGGCAATTACCTACGCGGGGAGGCAGAGAGGAACAGGCGGTCAGCCCCGAAAGCATCAGTTCCTGCGAGCGCACTGTCCTCTGGGCTCAGCTCAGAGCTGCGAGAAGACATCATAGTCCTTGCACCCTTCTTCCCATCCTTGGCTGCACTGTCACAGGCCTCCCCTCACCACACACCCATCCATCCCCAAGAACACTCAGGCCTCCAGGCCCTGCTCAGTGTGATGTGGCCTAGTTTGCATCCCCAACTGCCTGCCAGCCATGCTCCTGCACATGGGGAATTTTTTTTTCTAATTTTTATTTTATTTTTTGAGTTTTATCATATAATTCTGTATAGTCTGGCATTCCCCTCCCCTCACTTTCCACCCCTGACTGATTTTTCCCAAATTGTCACAACACTACATTTCTTTTTTTTTTTTTAAAGATTTATTTTATTTTTATTGGAAAGGCAGATATACAGAGAGGAGAGACAGAGAGGAAGATCTTCTGTCCGATGATTCACTCCCCAAGTGAGCGCAACGGCCGATGCTATGCCGATCCGAAGCCAGGAGCCTCTTCCGGGTCTCCCACGTGGGTGCAGGGTCCCAAAGCTTTGGGCCGTCCTCGACTGCTTTCCCGGGCCACAGGCAGGGAGCTGGATGGGAAGCGGGGCCGCCAGGATTAGAAACAGCACCCATATGGGATCCCGGGTGTGCAAGGTGAGGACCTTAACCACTGCGCCACCGCGCCGGGCCCCACGACACTACATTTCTTCATAAGGAGTTACAATTCCATCAGTCTTCTATTAAAAAAAAAAAAAAAAGGAATCTAGATTAAGGAGCCAGCACCAAGGCTCAACTGGCTAATCCTTCCCCTTGCAACACCAGTATCCCAAATAGAGGCCAGTTCATGTCCTGGCCGCTCCACTTGCCATCCTGCTTGTGGCCTAGGAAAACAGTCAAGGATGGCCCAAAACCTTAGAACCCTGCACCTACATGGGAGAGCCAGAAGAAACTCCTGGCTCCTGGATTAGCTCAGCTCTGGCCATTGCAGCCATTTGGAAAGTGGCCAGCAGATAGAAGATCTTTCTCTCTGTATCTCCTTCTCTTTGCAAATCTGCCTTGCCAATAAAAATAAATAAATCTTTTTTTAAAAATCTAGATTAAGCTACTGCCCTGTCTACCTAGCAAACTGCTCATCAGACCACCAAAGTTCGCAAGCTTCTAGGGCCCAATTCTGCTGCCTTGCCCTTATGACTTTCCCACCAGGCTCCAGCTTTCTATAATACCATAGATTGGGACCAGTGGAATGTCACAGTAGGTTAAGCCTCCACATGCATTGCTGGCAACCCATATAGGCACCTGTTCGAATCCTGGCAGTTCCATTTCCAATGTAGCTCCCAGCTTACGCTCTGGGACCCTACACCCAGAGATCAGAAAGAAACTCCAGGCTCCTGGCTTCAGACCTGCCCAACCCCAGCCATTGTGGCCATTTGAGGAATGAAAACAGCAGATGGAAGATCTCTGCCTGTGTCTCCCCCCTCTCTCTATAAATCTGCCTTTCAAATAAGTACATCTTTCCTAAAAAAACAAAACTAAACTAAAAACCACACATCCTCTCCAAGACCCCTTCCTGAGTCTGCCATTTCGATTATTGCCCAATCTGGGATCATCATCTCTGATCTTTTTGTTATAATCTGGAAAACTCCACCCATCCACCAACACACAGCTAGGAAGTGACCACAGCAGGCCCACAGATGCCCCTGCCCATCTCCCTAATGCCACCTCCTCAGCTGGAGCTTCTTTCTCCCTGCAGCATGAACCACACTCTGCAGCACCCTGCGGTCTGCCCACAGTGTGAGCCCACAAGCTACAGGAGACCCCTTGGCATCACTTCACGCGTCCACAGTTCAAGCTACCAAGCCAGTTCAAGGCAGACAGACACCTGTCAGCTCCAGCTCTCCTCACTCTCAAGGGAGGGGTCTCCAGCCTCCGATCACCCCCAGACCCTAACCCAAGCCCTCAGCAAGCTGTTCAGGTGTCAAAACCCCAAGGCTTCAGGCCCAGCCCTGCAGTGGGGGTGTTGGTTAAGGAGGCCACAACACAGGGACTCTGTAACAATCTGGAGCTGCAAGGGTTTCTCCACCCTCCCATTATCAACCATTAGATCCTGTCACCAAGTGTCACATTAATTCTGCACTTAGGGCACAGAAGTAGATGGAACCTCCTGTGCCGACTGTGCTAGGCAGAAATATGGTGTTTTTGGACTTGACAAAGACCCAACTTCCCCCTCAACGGAAGACATGCAGAGAAGGGAAATCAAATAAGGTCTCTAATAGAACGCAAAGCCATCAGGGAGGGGCAAGGAGAAATAAGAAATTACCTCCCTTGCAGCAGCTGATATGCACAGGCATTCAAATGGTTAACACATGAAAAGCCAGGAGGGCTTCCTGGAGGAGATGGCATTTGACTTGAATCACAAATGAAGATTTGGATGTGAGCATGTGAGAGTCACAAAGCTGATGGCATGCTGCCAGGAAGCCACGTGATGGCAGAAGAGAGGGAGGTGCAGAGCACTGGGGTCCCCACCAGGCCAGCTGGAACGCACAACATGCATAAAGAAGAGCCACAGGATATGCCTGGCAAAGACCGGATGAGTGAGCAAGATCGTGGAAGGCCTTGAATGCCTACGGAGGCATCCATCTTAATCCTTCCCCACGCGGCCCGTGTGAGTCATGAGTGAGGACTTCAACTGGACAGAAGAAACTTGTGCAGGTCAGGGACCCAGCCGCACCTCTTCTCACCCAGGACCGCATACCTAAGCACCTGCAACATAGCAGGTACGTGATGGGTTTCTAGAATAGCAAACTTCAAATAATTCTAAAGGACCAGCGAATGGTAACAGGAAGGCCAGTGATACCGGTTTAAATGAGTCTGAGGTCAGTGTGTGGCACAGTGGGCTAACCTGCTGTTTATATCAACAAACCATATCAAAGTGCATGAGTTCAAGTCCTGGCTGCTCTGCTTCTGATCCAGCTTCCTGCAAACGCACCAGGAAGGCAGTGGAACATGGGAAACTAGGATGGAGTTCCAGGCTCCTGGCTGCCTGGAACCTGCCAGGAGCCTGGCTGTGGTGGCCACTTGGGGCGTGTACTGGTAGGTAGAAGATCAACCTCTCTTTCCTGCCTTCCTCTACCTTCCTCTCTGTGTCATTCTGCCTTTCAAATAAATAGCTGTAAAAACAAAAAGAGCAGGGCCTGGCGCCTAGCCGCTGAAGTCCTCACCTTGCACGAGCCAGGATCCCATATGGGCACCAGTTCTAATCCCAGCAGCCCTGCTTCCCATCCAGCTCCCTGCTTGTGGCCTGGGAGAGTAGTAGAGTACAGCCCAAAGCTTTGGGACCCTGCCTCCACATGGGAGGCCTGGAAGAAGCTTCAGGCTCCTGGCTTCAGATCAGCATAGCTCTGGCTGTTGTAGCTGCTTGGGGAGTGAATCAACAGATGGAAAGATCTTTTTCTCTGTCTTTCCTCCTTGCTGTATATTTGACTTTCCAATAAAAATAAAATAAATCTTAACAAGCAAAAAGAGTTACTTACTATTATTATTTTTTTTAAGCAATGTTACAGGGCCCAGCATAGTAGCCTAGTGGCTAAAGGACTCACCTTGCATGAGCTAGGATCCCACATGAAGGCTGGTTCATCTCCAAGCTGCTTCACTTCCCATCCAGCTCCCTGCTTGTGGCCTCAGAAAGCAATCAAGGATGGCCCAAAGTCCTGTGACCCTGAACTCAGTTGGGAGACCTGGAAGAAGCTCCTGGCTCCTGGTTTCAGACTGGCTGAGCTCTATTTGTTGTGGCCACTTGGGGAGTGAACCAGTGGATGGAAGATCTTTCTCTCTGTATCTCCTTCTCTCTGTAAGTCTGACTTTCCAATAAGAATAAATAAATCTTTAAAAGCAGAGTTATAGAGAGGAGGTAACAGAGGGACAGAAATCTTCCCTCCACGGTTAACTCCCCAAATGGCCATAAAGGCCAGGGCTGAGCTGGTCTGAAGCCAGGAGCTTCTTCCACGTCTCCCATGTGGGTGCAGGGCCCCAAGGCTTTGGGCACTCCTCTGCTGCTTTCCCAAGCCACAAGCAGGGAGGTAGATCAGCAATGAAGGAGCCAGGAGATGAATTGGTGCCAATAGGAGATACTAGAGACAGAGACTTAACTTATTAAACCAAGACACCAGCCCCTCAAATAACTCTTGAAAAATACAAACGGGCCAGGAAGAGGCACTGAGAGTGGCACAGGAAGAGGCCATGGGAAAGCCAAGCAGGGGAGGGAGGGGGAGGCTCAAGTGCAGGGAAACGGGCACAAACAAGCTCGAGAGAGAGGGATGGAGGGGAGAGGGCGTCCAAGGGCAGCGAAGCCTTCTTAGAGGCCTTAGTGCCCTGGTGCAGGAGTGAGAGCAAGGCCCAGACTCCCGCCTGCCTCTCTGATACCCTATTCTTCTCTTAAACACTCAGGTGAGCCCAGCTGAACCAGGCCTGGGCTCTGAGGAGGCAGCTCTACCCCGAACCCACAATCCAGTGTGAGACAGGTGGTAAGCCTGGCAGAGTGTGATGAGAGCCACAGCCATGGGCACAACCTCTGGTGCTGCTGCAGAGACAACAGACCTAGGGAACCCAGCCCTGCTGGCCAGGGAGACAGGGATGCTGGATGGAGGTGTTGCCCAGCCACCCCGGGCCATAGCACAAAGCACCTGCCAAAGGGAATTTGTTAACAAAACAATCACACAATCACCACTTTTGTTACTAGGGAAGAATCCCATTTGCTATTGGGTTCATTGTTTGAGGATTTCCCACATGTTGGATTTGGATGCTGATCCCTAACACCCTCTGAGAGTTTGCAGGCTTCTCTCCCTGCCACCCCTTCCCCAAAGAGAACCTTCCTTCCTGTGATAGCACAAGCAGGAGCGGCAGTCCTACTGTGGGAGATGCAGGAAAGCCTTCCTCGCCTCACGACCAAACCCTGAACAACAGCTGAGACA